TCATTGTATTCAGTGTGGCAGAATGCAGAATTGTATTGTCATGTTAGGAGCTATTCCCAAAGAAAAAAACTAAAGCATGGATTAGAACCCTGGAAAACTGGATTAGAAACAAGAATAAAGTTTTATGAAACAGTGGGAGTTCATAAGTACTTCCAAAACAACAACCAAAAAAAAACTTTCAAGACAAGACATATAGTGTTGTGTGTGCACAGTTTTTTTGAGAATGCAGGGCAATTTCGAAGAAAGAAAAAAATGAGATGTTTACAGTAGCCTGCAAACTAAATGACAACAACAGCCGAAATGTTTTTTCTTTGGATTAATTAAAAAAAAAAAAAAGGATTCAAACAATAAGGGAGATTATAACTAAACAGAGTTCATGGTGGTCACCCCCATCCATTCATGTCTTGTACAGATCAAACTGGAAAACTTTCAAATTGTTAAAACATGGTCAGTAACAAAGCTATAAAAAGTATTAAGTTTCAAATAAATAAATGTCTTCAATATAAGTCCCACTGTGGGCAAAGTAGTGCTCCTGAGAAGAATTTTATTACAAGTGTACATAGTGTTGAAACAATGTAAAAACAAAAAAACAAAAATGAAGGTGTTCTAGTTGAAGTTTGTATATACAAGTTTTTACACTGTACTCAAGTTACCACTTCAGGTCATGTGCAAAACATGTGATCAGCACTCTAAAGGGTCAGACAATGCTGAATTTTTGCATCATAAAAATAAGCTGAGGGGCATATTCAAAATGTAAAACCAACAAACAAAAAACTCTTGTCATAATAATCTTAACAAATGCTATTGAATATCTATCCAGAAAGTATTGGTAAAAACCTTTTTATGTACAGTTGTGGACTTGCAACTCTGGTCTTCATAACTGGTGTAATGATACCATAGTAATATGTGAGAATACAAGGGCACAGTGTCAATACCCTACTTGCCTCTTACATGTCGAGTTGGTAAAACTTGCCCACTTTGTCTTTTGGATGGCTTTTTATCGAGGGGCAGGAAGTGAGAAAGTTGGCAGATGTCTGTGGTTCGAAGTGACAGGAGACAGGTTTAACAAATAATGAAATAAAGGTTTATTATATGACTAACACAAAAATACAGGAGGCTACACAGAGCTAAATGCATATATCTCTAGGTTATATAGGCTAGATGCAATTAACATAGGATTACAAAGTCTATGATTGAAACTGCTTAGTCTTCTCTATGACAGCTATGCCTACTTCCATTACGAGAGAGAGTGAGTTTGCAGTCCGCTGATAATTAACTCTAAAGTTGGAGGAGTGCTATATGCGGTGATAACAGTTCTTTAGGGAAGCACTGGGTGTTGTCGATGTCTTCTACCAATGTCTTCTCTGAGGACTAGGTCGAGTCCGTTGCATGGAGGTTTGGGAAACAGGGAACCACTAAGACCAAATATAACTTCTGTGTGCAAAACTTCTGTCTCAAGCCTCTGGAGGCTCGCACCTTTTATATGATTGTCATGGAAAATCTAACACATGATTGACCTTTGTTGACGATGATGGTGCAATCTTGACAGCCACTTGACAACTATTCCCACTGACTTGTTACTACAACCAGTGACCTCTGATCTAATTTCTAACTCTCTGTTTTTTCTAACAAAGATGTTTACATTTTGAAAACAATTAACATTAATTTTTGATTTTAAGAGCCCCGTAAAAATCTGCGGGCTCACAAATATGTATGTGACTGGAGAATGTGACATTGTAAGGGGCAGACAAAATTGCTTCCTGCTTGATTAAATTATTACTGGAAATGGCACACGGAAAGAAAAACTCATGCCCTGGACAAAAAAAATTTCTTAATTTTCTGTGAGACCACACTCAGAGAAAAAAAAAATCTTACTACCATTGGCATATTTATGACAATTACATTACAAGTACTTTGTTCCAGGGCACAGCTATATGGCTTCTGACCGAAACTTTGAATTTACAAAAACAGCAGTCAGGCATACTCAGTATGTGTGTACACATAAGGATTGGATTAAAATTCCACCACAAATGGATTTCAAATGTCTGCAGATGCACTTCATCAACAGAAAGAAATTGATGGATTACATTTTAAAATAAGCAAAGCAATGAGGAGTCTGCATGTGAATTTTAATATTCCTACAATAATCAGTTTGTGATTACCATCATAGAAGTGATCCATCCCTGTGGCATCAGTGAGCATTGCATGAAAGAGGACACAAACCCAGCAAAGATCACTTGTCTTTCCCATTAAATACCCACAAGGACGATGCATTAAAACTTCAAAGATGAAGGCCCTTATAACTCTTAAAGTTCACCCTATCTATAAATCATCCTTAATTTACTAGTCTTCAAGCCAAGAATCTTGAAGAAAAGTGATATGAAATAAATTGATTTAATAGGCATAATGTATCATTGCATAATACAAAATAATGTCAAGTGCAATAAAGGGAGCTGTATTCTGGGTTGGAAATATATTTTTATGGTCTGTAATCACACAAACATTATAGGCTACAGAATATTTGCTGAAAGGTAGATCATATTATGTTTAATAACACATGTAACAAGTATATATTAAAAACTGGTTCATCTTATCATAAATGAATGTCAGGTGGGCAATGTTCCCTCTAAGCTGCGTGGCTGCGCACTGCTCAAATTGTTGCCGCACACAAGAATTTATGTGCCACGCAGGCAAGCATGCACACCGATTTGAATTGTTCACTTTTTTCTCACTCTGTCTGCAACATGATTATTTCTATCTATATTTCAATTAAATACATTAAATCATTGACAAAAGATAATATTTTGTATAAATGTATGTTTTAAAATGAATTTTAATCTCTACTTTATAATTAATCATTTTNTAATAAAAATATTATTGCCTTATTTACATATTAATTTAAGCGAAATCGCATTGGTGACAAATAGCTAAGTAAGCGAACCGATGACATTACCCGTTTCATATAAAACAAATTGTCATTGGTTTGTTTATCCAATTGTTTTAAAACTGCTTTACCAGACATATATGTAATATTTACGTCTTCTTCCATTTTTATCAGTTCTAATCTATTACATTTATGTACTGTATTGTAAGTACTGTACTTCTAATCTATTAAATAAATGTACTGTACTGTACTTACAGTACATTTATTTAACAAATTATTTTTTTATAAATTCAGTACAAACATAAATTTAAAGAAAACAAGCGTTTTGCCTTTTTAAAATTAATATATTCGTTTGCTTTTCGGACCCTATACCATTGTAAAGCGAATCTTACATCTCATATGTCATAAATTTATTAGCAGCATAACCAGGGAGGATCCCAGGATTTACGGGCCCATTACCTTTATAAATAAATAAATGAAAAAATCAAATAAGTACAGGGAGAAGATTTGAATGTAACAAATATTAACTATCTTTATCCACAGCGCTAATGGCTGCACTCATCGTGGTACAGCGGTGAATATAGGTTTGCACGTTCTAATATAGGTCCTCTAATATCGCGTTTAGTTACGTTACTAAAATTAAAATCACATAGAAATATAGTTTGAACTATATAATATCAATAAAAATATAAGAAATCTTGTCGTTTATAATATTTTTAAAAAATCAGTTAAAAGAGCGAGCGGTCGTAATGTGGAGTGTACTGTATTCAATGTTGTTTTCCTATATTAATGAATAAGACTTAAATGAGTAAATAAATTTGTATACATAAATATAATTTTTATATTTTAAAATAAATTATGCTTTTGAAATGATTACTACAGAAAGATGGGAAGAATCAAGTGAACTGACAAAGTTAAAAATGAACAAGTTCCGAAGACGTTTTAGATTGAAAGAAGCCTAGGAAATGTTTGATGCATAGGAAAATAGCTTTTGCAGGATGTAACGCAAGAGGATATTCGAAAATTTAATAGAAACTGTTTTTCAAGGCAAACTGGAAAATAAGAGGAAAACCCAAACTTGAATAGGAGGATAACAGCTAAACCAAGAAAAGATTGTTCGAGAGTACTGGAATAAAGTTGTCCATAACCTGTAACCATTTGAATAGAGCAGCGATTCCCAACCTGTGGTACGCGTACCCCTAGGGGTACGTGATAGGTTGTTTAGGGGTACAGAAAAAAGTTAGTTATTATGGCAGAAAAAATAATATATTATGTATCACAAACTAATAGTATTAAAAAATTATTAGGTAAAATATGTTCCTTNAAAAATGTATTATTAAAAATATTTCTTAAACTTATTTAGATAATATTGTTACAATAAAGCAAACAAGAATCTCTTCCAATTAATAAAGGTTCTGTATAAATTATAAAGATAGACAGACAATTTTGTCAAGAACAAAACAAATTTATTAAAAAAAATTAAAGAAAACAACTGAAACTTAAGACAACTTGTAATGGAGTTGTTTGCCTTATATTATAATATGTTTGAGCTTCACAAGAACATTGAATGAAGACTGCTGTCTCCAAAAGTTCTTAAGCAAAATGGTTTCATGAGTGATACTTCCTTTTGAACAATTTTTTAAAATATCGATGTGACTTTCTCCCATTGGACAAAAGACTAGTCGACAAAAAAAAAGGAAAAAAAAATTACATTGTTATAGTTATTATCAATAATATATTGCTACAAAGTTTGTCTTTGATATTTATTTAATAAGCTAAATTATAAAAAACCAGAAATACTTGTACTCTAATAAAAATGTTTTTGAGCCTCCTATATTGATATCATGATGTTTTAATTATAATTATATGACTGGAACTGTCTTTGTAATCTATATATGAATTGTAAGAAAGTTTTAAAATATGGGGAATGTACTGTATATTGACAGTTTAAATTCATTCTTGTTCTAGCAGACAATTTAATAATTATTGATAATATATATATTTATTGCAAATCAACATTTCATTATAACAATCTTTTGATTATATTCTTCATTAATTAATACTTGAAGACACTTAAGAATTAAGTTTTCTATTTTCAATTCCAAAAATTGCTTACCATTAAATGTTCAAATGCATGCATACTGAAAGGCAATTCGATAATGCCAGAGCAGTTTGGCTTAAGTAGATTATGGGAAGGATCTGAATTTCCAAGATAATTATTACCACTATATAAAAAAAAAAAAAAAGATTCTGAAATTATTATAATTATAAATGTTCTAATAAATATTGACAAACTTCAAAATGATACAATACATATCACTAAACTTCTGTAGTAACAATTAAAAGCATATGCAATTTATCATGAACAAAATGAAAATTAAAAAGTTGTATACATTACTAACAATGAAAAATAAAGAAAAAAATTTCTTAAAATCAGAAATTGGTAATTTATACTGTTAAATGACAGAAAAAAGTTTAATTAATATATAATAAATTATTCAATATTTAGAATTTACTGTATTTCTATTGTAATTACATGTGTGCTGGTCACTGGTTGGACTTGACCTGTATTGACTCAGAAGGCTCCAATTACTAAGAAAAAAATACTTGATACTTTGAACAAGAATTCCTTTAATCATTTACACAAAATAAAGTCTAATATTAACAGAGCCAGGACTGCTGGCCACATGGTCAATCTTGTCTTTCTTGCGCACTTGGAAGATCCAAAAAGTGGTGTTGCAAACTTTCCCTGTTCTTTTATCATCATCATCATTTTTCATCATTGTTGCTGCTCCTGTCAGCCACACATCAGTTTAGGTCAAAGACAAAAATATATTTATTAAACTTCACAAAGTTATCATCATCATCGGCTAAATAAATACTTTTATGCTCTCTTTGAAAATATCAGCCTCCACATGTCGCTGATAATATGCAATAGTTATATTTTAATCAGTATTTTACACACTAAGTACTAATTGACTATCTTTTACATAAAGATACTCAATTATAAGTCTTTTTAAGTCATCAGAAAGTAAGCAACGACCCATATACAAGGTTACATCCATCATGGTAAACTTTTCTTTCATGTAGCCAGAGCGATGAGAGATAGAACCAACTGAGTGCAATCTCATTTTAGGGAAGATGGATGACTTTAGGGTTACCCTCTGACTGGCATTGGCTGATGACTTACTTAAACATGATGATTTAAAAGGGGATGACTTAAAAGCATATAAAAATAGTAATTTCTTTTACTATTTGTGTAATAATTTTTATTATTATTAGTGATGGAACAATACCAAATTTCTCCCAATTCTAATTCTTTTCAATACTTTCTAAAGTTCACTTTAGTTTGAAAAAGTTTTAATCTTTGATTGAAACAAATAATTAAATTTTCTTATAAAATGCAGAAGAATCGTTTTTAAGAATCAGAAATTGCAATAAGATTTTCTCAATTCTGATACTCAGAAAATGTCCAATTTTTCCAATTCCAATTAATTGTCCCATCACTAATTATTATTACATAAATTGTTCTTAAATGAGTTGCTATTATTGTAAAATATAAATAACAATTAACATTAAACAATGTTTTCTTAACAATTATAGCATTTCTAAGGTGGATTTATACTTATGCAACACACCTTATTTTACTCAGTTTGAACTGAAGTATAATTTCAAATTGTCATGTACAGAATTGTTTCCTGTTACTGAGCAATCATTGTTCTATCCCAAAATATTAATTTTTTACTCAGAAATACTAAAAAAATGACTCTACAGTAAAAACTAAAGTTTTACCCTTTTCAAACTGGATTTATCATCCTGTTGCATTTCAAAAGTATTGAATAATGACATTTTTGCAATTTCTGAAAGTCTATATGCAACATTAATAATTTTAATGGAAAATGTGTAAAGGAAAATGTGTTTCCTTCACTCAGAAAACAGATGTCTCTGACATTGACTCTGGCACAGTACAGTCAGGTTGATAAGATAACATAAAAGGAAAACTGACTCAAATGATATCCAAGAACTGAAAGTAACAGTATGTCATTAGAAAAATTTGGATAAGTAGTAAATTAGAAAAAAGACTGCATACTCTCTTGGAGTCTCACAAGATCAATTCAAAAACCAATTATTATATGCTTTATAAGACCCATTTAGCAGAAAGAAAATCTGAATTTGCTGTAACATTGAATGAGGCTTTGTTCAATGTTAAGACTGCAATGGTACCAGGAAAATCCGTTATGCAAAGTCTATACAGAGCAGAGTTCAAAACTTTTCAGTTTTTGACATACAATTGTTTGAGAATAAAATGATGATCATTAGTGCATTGTTAAGCTTGGGACCATTGCATCTCAGGGTTCCACAAAATGTAAGGGTGAATGTCAAGTACTATGTCAGTGATATTTTGGTAACATTACTGAACACTAAACTTGAAACTTTCTGATTGACTTGCATAAAATCTTGTCATGAACTGATCAATACTTATCATTACCATTATTTAAAATATATACAGTATATAACTATTGTTAAAATATACTTACTTTAATCCTTTATAATCAAATGGCACAATAGTGCTAACATAAAGATCTATATCTGTTAATGGTTTACCAGCAGCAAGACAATCTTCATCCATAGAATACATCTTTCCTTCCAAATTTGTTTCTTTATCTTCATGAAGATCTATTTCCTCTTTCTGCATCATTAGTTGTTGCTTAAGTTCTTCAACCAAAATGGCCCTTTGTTCTTGTTGCATTAAAGCAACAAGATCATAAGGTCGCCTTAATGAAAATACTGAATCAATCTAAAAAAGAAATTAAATTTATCTTTAAATAAATACATAAATGAAGTTTAATTGTTTATACAAAAGCAATACAATATAAACTTGTGATAACCAACCACAAAAAAAAAAAAATTCATTTTAAAATAATTAAAAATTTATGTTCAGCTTTAATATACTGTATTAGGCTGTCTGTCCACAAGGCAAACTGTCATAGATGCATATGAGATCTGACTTGTAGCAATGATTTGTGTACACATATCTATACAGATATTACAGATATTACATGGATATTAAACGTAAAATTTGTAGTGCAGCTTCTTCAGTTGAGATGATGTCTAGCAACAAGGAAGATGTATTATTTTACTACTACATTTGCTAGTGTAGAAGAAAAAGATTTTGGATTTATCCTAACGGTCAAAAGAAATATTAATTACATTAAAAGTATATTATTCATTGCTGTTAGAGAATTATCAAATGTTCAAATGTAAAATTGAAATGTTTTGCAAAAAACACATTTAAAAAACTTGAAACTGTGGGTCCACCTATTCAAAAATAAGTATTAATAAAAAGTTGAAAACAAAATCAAGCATTGTGTATCTAGTAATGGATGGGTCAATATGCCCAACATTGTGAAGCTTGCATGTTGTGTCAAATATGAAACACTCCTGTTTTGTGTACACATATGCATTTAAAATCACAGGTTACTGCAAGCAAGCATACAGCTTAAGACATCACATTTAATATGTGTCCATAATGATATGCCTCAAACAGATAGCCTTAGACTTAATGTTAGATTCAACATTATTATTTTGCAATTCTCTTAATTAATTAATAAACTCATGACTATCTTAATTATAAACATTATTTTCTATAAAAAAAGATTCTATATTGATACTTAAAATATTAAAATTATAAGATATTTCAATAATTATACAGACTTCACACCCCTTGAGACAAGAAAATTTTCAGATTCTCAAATGGATTCATTACTAATTTTACTCTTCCTGAAGGGTTTATTCTGTTTCTATAAATAGTTTGCAACAGATCATCTATGTTAGGTTTTGATTTTCAAAATTATTAAATAATCATCGATATATTTTGCATATAAATGGATGTAGGAAAGTAATTTCTTCAGTGTGTGCTGTTCTAATAACCTATCATTTTGACAAATCCCCTGAAAGGGAGCTTCCTGTTGAAACTTTTGTATATAGGTCTGATTATTAAATGTGAAAAATAGTGTATTCTAGTATTTGTTGGTGATTCTTTTAAGTAATATAAAAAAATGCACCAAAATAAGTCTCTTAAAGTGCAAAAGTATGGCTAAAGTCTGATGGACGGTTACATCAAGGCAAACTCAAGTACAGGTACTTTGATGTACTCACTACCATATAATGTTAAGTTTTTTTAATTTCAATATTAGCTCTATAAAGTTGGCTACACTGTATTTGTATTCAAGCAATTGGTGCATTCTTTCCTCTATTGTAATTGTTGTTGATCTTACTTTCTCCAATATTGGACGTAATTGCTGATCAGGTTTATGAATTTTTGTGAAAGTGAAGACTCTCAAGGTCTCTGGTTAGCCTTAAATATTTGGCTAGGGTTGTGTCAGTGAATCTACTGACACAACCCTACCCAATTTGTAGTTTATGTATGTTTATCTATGAAGAGTTCCATTCCAATGGGAAGACCCCTTTCATGGGTTTATGTGAAATGATAGGTTACTGGAACAGCATACCCTTGAGTACCTTGAGTAAAAGAGATTACAGGGCTGTCCAATTTTTAGTATCGGACTTAGCCCTATAGAAGTAGGAAAGAAGAGAAAGCATGAGATACGAAGTGTGAAAAGAAAGGGAGATAGGAAAGTGTGAAGTAAGAGATCGGTACCTGGAGGCCCGTTCCAGCATTTATTAAAGATAAAATAATATTTACAATATGTACAATATGTACAGTATGGCTATTTGCCATATAGAAACAACTTGATTACAAATGGTCCTGACAATTTTTAAACATAGTAATAAATACTATACAGAATAAGTTAATATAATACGTAATTATTAGTGATGTAACGAATATTCGGTTACTATTCGGTATTCAGCCTATTTTTCGCTATTCGGCTGAATACCTAGAAACAGGAGTAAGAAATAACAAAAACACAGTAAATTAATCATTTTGGTATTTAGATTTAATGTTATCGGGTTAGTGTTGTTTGTTTATATTTATTTATAACTTATAACATGCACAAAATAAAAAAGAAAATAATATTAGTCAC